AAAAAAAAAAAAAAAAAAAAAAAAAAAAAAAAAAAAAAAAAAAAAAAAAAAAAAAAAAGGGGGGGTGGTGGAGTTGCCATTTCTATTATAATGTATTATGATGACAAATTATAAGAACAAATCCTATGAATGGGTGCCTTCCTTCTCATTAAAAAACTGCATCTACCCACTCTATGAATTAAATAGTGACATCTATATGAACCCAGTCACCAAGCATGCAGACAAAGCCCAAGTTAAGAAAAACAAAACAAACCATGGCAGTGACATACCTTGYGTTGATTCCCTTATTTCCTGAGCTTCTCTCCTCCCAAACCCACTTGGCTGCTGTCTCTGGAGTTTCTGTCTCTACAAAGAGATCTGGATGCCCAGCACAGTCTCAGACATGTCCTGGCTCTGTATTCAGATCCTGAGTCTGAATGGAGTATCCTTCTCTTCTCCCAACAGAAAATTTATGCGTGCTGATTCCAAAGTGCCAAAAGTGAGGCAGGATTTTCTTCCATGTCTGGGAGGTCTACTATCATCCCAGACACCATTACAGCGCATCTTCAAGTTCCTTCTCCTCTCTTGGTACTGACCCAGGGGACACCTGGTACACTGATGGGCAAGGTGCTCTTATACTTGGCTATCAGAGTCCAGTATCAGACACTAACACCACCTCAATGTCCTGGATATTCACACTTTCTCAGTGTAACCTATGTGAGGCCAGTTTGCAGGTATGATCATTTCTTCTGAGAAATGTTCCAAGAACATCTTGATAGATACAGACAAATCAGTACACAGCGAAGACTTCCAAAAAAAGTATCACCTCAAGTCAATGGAACAGAAACTGGACCAGACAGAATCATGTAGATACTATGCCATGACTTGATGTCCATACTTGAGTTAGCCTTGTCCAAAGCAAGTGCAATGCACACAGTAGTGTGACCATGTACYACTGCCAGCAGATGCAGGTGTAGTTCAGTACTTTCCCAGGAAGATGTCCTTACATGGGTCTGCATGCCCAAACTCTCGAGCGTGAGAATGAGGTAAATCAGTACGGAACTGATCAGTACTGACAGGAAATCAGCGTGTGACAGCGTGCCATGATCCTTCTTTTCAAAGGTACAAGATCACCAACAACTGGGCACACACACCCAGGYACTTCCAACAGCAAAAGGGAAACAGAAATCTGTAAAATCTGCCATCAGAAAGCCAAGCATCAAAGGCAGCTCATCACCATAGGCTCTTTTGTCTAAACCCTCATGAACAGGATCTGCTTTGCTGGACATTACTCTCAGAGAAAAGTGTATGCATTATACAAGAGCAAAACGGAAACTCCTTCCAAAGTGAAACCAAATGGAAGCATGGAACACATTCAGTGGTAAAACACTCAAAATCTCTGTCCCAACAAGGACATCATGGAAGCTGGTGAAGCTAGAAAGTTTCCAGACTAAAATGATAGCCCGTCCTTTGACAGGTGAGGACATAAGGTCAGATCTGTGGCATAGACCTCATGAAAATCCACTGCAACTGCAAAACCCCTTAGTCCCTGCAAAGTAGCCCAAATCCACTGCTACCTGAGAGAAATCAAAACCAAGAGCCAGGTCTCAAAAATTGTCCTTTCGTCCACGCTCCTTGCAGAGCTCAAGAAATGCAGCACTGTGACTAATTTGATTCATGAGAACATCCTAAAATGCAGGCTGTTACATCCTAAAATCCAGGCTGTTACAAGCCAAACATGAGATTGCTCTCTGCAATCTAAACCCAGGAAGGTATCTCTAGAATTCATTAAAAAACAAATCATATGCTAATTCAGCACATAGTAATTTAAAGAGAATTACATGTGAGTAGATGGCTAATAAGTAGATAAACAGTAGAGAAAATCTTCTAATTCTAGCTCAGATCTTCAAGTAAAATTGCACAATATCAACTTCCCTCTCACTTCATTTTTAGTGGTTACAAAACAAATACACASAAGATCAAAGTAATGTGAAGAACCCACTGGTTTTAAATTAATTGAGTAGGAAAATGAAAACTATTTTGTAGGTTTTCATTCTGTGGAGACTGTTCAGCAGTAGATAAAATAGCAATAGCTAAGGAAAACCCCATTACAATATATTATATACAGTATATGTACATTTATATATTACAAGCACTTGTTGAGAGCATGGTGATGGCCCATCCTCTGTTACTCTAGCATGGAATCAGTAAGTTTGTACCAGTTGGAAGAGTGTTGCCTAAAAGTTTCTTCAGTATTTAAAGGTACTACAGATTCTTTGTATAAGTTGTAGGTACTATASATCCATAAAAGCAGTAGAAAGATCAGAACGTGAAAGAATAAATTTCCAACAGCAATTTTATAAATAAAATCACTGTTAAGGTTTATTCATTTCTGCTACAATAGCAAATCAAACCTGCAATGTGTATACATGGCAGCAGCTAACACCTGAAGCTTTAGGGAAAACAAAGCAAAAAAAAAAAACCAACTGTTCCATCATACAAATATCCATTTGTCTCACATTGTGCATAGAGAAAACATTTTGCTGATAGCTGTAATGCTACTCTCAAACTCTAAAGAACATGATCTAATTACCATCAACTTAATTAAAACTAATTTCTTTTTATCGATTACTTAACTTTCTGATGTTGTTTTAACCCTAGTGCCTTAGGGAATGTTTTCAAAGATTCACATCAATGTTGTGACTTTTTATATTAATTAAGCTATTCTGATTACTTTGCCCTTTTAAAATTATTCTCAATGCTATATATATCCTAAGTGACAAATGGCAGAGTTTAAACAATTACAGAAGTTCAAACATTTGCGGCTTTGTTCTTTTTTCCCCCTCCTTTCCTCCTTTCCCCTCCTTTCCTCCATCTACCCCTAGGGAAGTTCACTTCCAAGAAGTGAGTGTTTTCCACACCTATTCTCATGGTTAGTGAGCTGCTTTGTGCCCACTGCTCAATTTTTCTGATCAAACACATGGAAGACCTCAATCTAACAATCCTTTYCAGTCCTCAAAGCCCCTAAATACAATGTAACCTTGTGTGAATGATAAACATCTATTAATTTTGSTCTATTTAAACTCTGCCTGCATGARAAACTAAAGTGTTTARAGGAGATATGGACAGGCTTTGCTTAACTTAAGCTTAAATAAAGAGCTTGGCAATAAACTACCCCATGAAATACTGATCTCCATTAACCATAACTAGGAGAACAGTTGGGAGGGAAAATTACAACATGATTTCATTATCCTAACACTTTAGAAAAGTTACAACTCAAAATGAAGAACAGGTAATGACAATTTTTTWAAATATTCTAGTTTCCTAGTTTTTCATTTTTCTGGCTGTAAGCTGAATTAATCAGGCAATGTTGGAAAATAATTTTCATGTTGTCATGCTTTCAGATAATAGCTGAAATTGAATAATCAGCTGTTTTTGCAAGCTTTAATACATATAATGGAATCTAAATCATCCAAATCATAGTTTTTTTTGTAAAAATAACCCTACCCCACTTTTATACCCTGCTGTAGTAATACAGAATGAAAAAAAAATTTAACAGATCATAAAGAAAAACTGAACAAGTATACCTTGGATTCTGACSTATCTGTATCACTTCTTTCAAAGTATTTTTTRAAATTTATTTTTAATMTCACATAAAATTTCCAACACAAATGCTAACACAGGAAAAGCAGGGGTGTGATAATACAAACAGTTCTGCTTAACTGAAGAGCACTTTAGACCCCTTTAAACTCACAACAAATAGGACTGCGCCCTCAATAAAAAACAGAGCAAAGACCCCAGCAATACAGCACTAAACACGGCACTAAAATTCCTCAGAAGACCTTTTAAATTCTGCTGACATCCCCTTCACACAGGAATGAGATGCTAAAGGGAWGCCAACTGATGATGAGTCAGTATAAGCTTACCTGTTTAAGTGCTTTCTTTGTGTGCTGTTGGAAGGAAGATACTAGCTTGCTTTGCACCGGTGCATTAGTAAGGCTTGAATCACGATTGGAAGACATTTCTTCAGATGTCTGCTTTGGGCAAACTTCATAAAAAAATGAAACAAAAAATCAGAATTCTGTTATGGGGGTTATCTTCCCTATTTCTTGGAGAGTCATAAGGATGGAAAAATTAACCAAATACAAGGAAATGCCTCAAAACCAGAAAGTTTGCTGTAAAAAATTCAACTGATCTTGAGGTCCAGAGGAGCTGAAAATCCAGTCATATCCTAAGCAAATTTATTGCTTCACAAATATTTGTACCTCATCATACCCTTCCTATGCAGTTCTGGAGGCTTGCATATTTTGCCTTTCAGGTCCTGAAAGGTAATTGAAATAGTTTAACAATAGGTTTCACATAGAAGCTAGGCAAAAACTATCTTCCTCACCAACACTTTAATGGATTATAAGCATTTATACAAGAGACACTGATGACCCCTGGATCTAGAAATACTCACATACATGTAACTTTGTACCAGATTGGGTTACATAAAAGGGTATGGGTAAAGCTAAGAACTCACACTTTCCTGTTTAACGGGTAGACTAGAATATCCTGGAAAGGTGAATTCTGGTCTCCCAGGTAATACATGCTGCTGTACTTGTCAGCCTTCTAAATAATCCATGCTTTAAAGAACAAATATTACAGTACTTGCATTGAACAGCCTCTTGAATAAATGTTGTGTGAGACACAGAAAAAGTCTCTCAGTTAAAAAGACTTTTTTTTTTTTTTTTAAACAGCTTTATGAAACAGATATGAAACCTGTGAGAATAGCTGGAGGATCTTGTTAGTGTTGGTGGTCAGCAAACTCAACTAAAAGGGCTGTGGAAACCTTTCCACTCCTAATGCCTTGCATTACTATTACTCTCACTAGTATCCTGAGACTGCCCAGCTAAACCAGCATTACCCTGCATCCAGAAGTGAAGCAGCTTCTTTTCCATTTTCCTCTGCTGCCTCAGTTCAAATCTGGCCTTCCAGYAGTGCTCAAAGCTTGTTGTGTGCTGGCATACCTTCTTTATAATGCTTTGCAGCAGTAAAAGGTTTTCTAAGATTTGTCATACTTTGCACACCACCAGAATAGTCCGAAGACACTCAAAGCAGGTGCACTGACATCTGCCAGAAATAATGYAGCCCAGTACTTTTGTCTATTTTCTCCTCCCATCCTTTAGTGGGATGAGSAGATACCTCAACTAGCCTTCTAAGTCCCTTGACTTTACCAGTGTTTCATAGAAGAAACATTGTAATTCTTTTTGATTTGTGTTTGTAAGAAAAAAAGACAYAGAACAATTCGGTTATCAATAATTACTGGCCATCATAAGATGCATGTGATGTTTAACTTCTTTTTTCTCAATTCTCAATAACAGAGAATACATTCTATGGCACTGCTGTTATGTCAAGATCATTTTCATACTAGATTAAGTTTTTTCATTACCAGATTAAAGAAATACTGTTTTCTTACAAGATTTGTAACTGATTTTTGTCTCTTTTTTTCCCCCTTACTCTTGAAGGATTTGCCAAAATATACCAAGAAGTTGCAACACAAAACAGGTTCTGAATTTACAGAATCACCTGGTTTGGATCAATCTTTTCCACATGACAAGCAAAGCTAACTATTGAATAAGACAATGTAAAGGAGCAGCAAAATGTCTGCAGAAAACAAAGAATAGCTGATTCATATAACCCAAATCACTGCATAGCTAAGCTCCTCATACAACAAAATACCTAAAGCAAAACAAAAACCTGGCATTTGAAATTACCCAGATTTTGTCTTCTCCTTTGAAGAGAATTTTTTTTTACTGTTATCTGGCAAATTTTGAGAGTCAAGAATTGATGAAGAAACCCCAAAATAGTTTGAGCACACAAACTCCAGAGCTAATGAGAAAAGAACAGAACAAATTTTAAAAAGCCTGAAGAATGGAAAGTTAAATGCCCCTCTAAAAGAGGATAGATACAACATGACCTGCTCATGATAAACCTATTCCTGTTCCCTAGAATGAATGCAACTCCTATTTTCAAATGGGAAATTCTGATTTTCATTACAGTGATCCAGGATATTATCCAAGAGTCTCCCCTATTTATTTAGGTGATAAAGTTCATCCTAAAGTGATTTGACAACACTATCTGATGATGCTTAACACTGAAACTATTAATGTCAAAGTCATGATACAGCGGGAATAAAAATAGGCATAGCTCTACATTAATTTTGTACTTTCATTCATTTCTCTTTTAACAATAAACCTGAAGTTGTGACAGGATTTATAAGAGGCTATACTTCTTATTTCTATCATTACTTCAATTTTGCATTAAAATGTAATCAGTATATTGGTTTATTTTGCTTCTGTTCCTTTGAATCTTTTACAACAATTAAACCAAGGAACAGGGGCTGTTCTAGTCGGTGAAACAACTGGAGCAATAAAGAGCTTTCCTTCACTGTAATTTCTTCCACAGATACAGAAGGAATACCTMACTTCAGGCTGGTTCTTTAGTGCAACCCAAGCCTAGCTTCTTCAGAGTTTTGAAAAAAAAACAAACCCCAACTTTCTCCTGTGGTCTGTGATTAAAGACATAGACATATGAGTTTGAAATCTRCTGCTTAAAGCATTTAAAATGACAYTGTGATCAGAGAAAGTCAATATAATTTATTTAGAATGAATGATACTTCCTTTCTAAAACCTATTTTGTACATTATAATTTTCTTCATATCTCTAGTAACTTGAAATAGTAAGGTAGTAGGAAACTATTTTAAACATTACTTTCTATGCTTTCATTAAATTTTCCATTTCCATTTAAAACCAGCTTGATATAAAACATGGTTATGAAGCTAACCATCTAGTAAATAAGAGATGTCATTGCCTATTTTCCAAAAGTAGAGGATGCAAACATTTAAAATCTAAATACATTGTATTAAATTATACAGTTGTTTAATAACATACACAACCTACTCACCTTATTAGTAAAAAACAATACTAAAACTGACACACAGACTTTATTTAGAGGATAATCAAGATATTGTTTAAAAACAATATAATTGTCTTTTCTGTAGGAAATTAAATAAAATTTTGGGACAATGAATAAATTAAATCTTTAAAAAATGTACTGCTACTTATTAATTTAAATCAATTTGTGCCAAAGTATCACTGTATTAAAAATATAAAAGGATTTATTTATTTCTTAATTTCTATGGATAAAGTTCAACTGCTTTTCTCTGAATGGGTCAGACATACAAAAAGGGAAAAATATGACAGAAAGACATATAAGTGTCCAAAATCAACATTGATGATCCTAGTGAAAAAGCAATGCCTTAAGAACAGAGCAGGCATTTCTGCTACAGAAGGCAAAGAGAACAGTAAAAGAAAAATTCAAGAAGAGAGTATTCTTTGTACATATATACAACTTTGGAAAGCTGCAACKACTTTTTCCATAAGCACTAAAGGTCCATGAATATTATCAGATCCATGTTCACTTGAAAATTTATATCAGAAAAGAATGCTAAAAATAAACTGGATGCTGGGGAGGAAAAAAAAAAAAAAGCCCTGAGAGAATGTGACAGATAAAGGGAAAATATTTGGGTAGCAAATAAAGAGGATTCAGCATTATTGCTACAGCAGAAAAAGGAAACAAGAGCTGTTTTAAGCCTACAGGAGGCATTTCCATTTAGTGGAGAATAATTAGGCTCCATTCTTTAAATCAGCTTCCTCAAGGGCCAGGACCGAGCGAAGGAATAAAGAAAAAGCAACTATTAAGCCRTAAACTGTTAGGTTATGAGCTGGAAGAGCAGCTGGGTTTCTGAAGATAAGACCTCCCTAGTGAATGTTCAGAGACTGTTAACATGAATGATAGAATTAGAATTACTTAGCARAAACAGTATGTTAAAAATGTTTCCRACAAACTCCATTTAAAATAACTTCCTCTCTTTCATTTTTCCAAGACTAGTTTTGTTAATTATTACAAAAGACTATAATTTATAAATATCAGCAGTGCTGTCTTTGAATTTCAGATTTTATAGGCTACCTCTGTAATTTTCTATTCCTTTTTACCTTCCCCACCCAAGAAATGACATGTATGTGGCACATATTAGAATACACGTTTCTTCAAAGAAATCATTTTTTTGAGGAATATAACAAAAAGTTATTCTATGCCCTTGTCACTGAAAGTTATTAGGAATAACTGTAAACAGATTTATGTAACTAGAATGACAGAGAAATTCCTGTCCAGTAAGGGCTTTATTTTCCCAAAATCAATAGTACAATTAATTTTTATTTCAGTCAGATCATACAGATTTAAAATCAAACCAGCAAAATCARCAGCAGTTCACTTCCTTCTTTGTTAAAGTAACCACAGCAGATGAGAAGGATTGTTTACTAATGGCCACATTACAAAACACAAATTAATATTGTTACCATATGCTAAGACTGGCGTCTACCTCAAGCATAAAATGTATGCACACACTCTGGAGATATGAAACTTCAGAGAGAACTCCCTTAGGAAAACACACRCACAAAATCTCTCTCTAAAATATGCATAAAATTCAATATTTTCTTTGGGTGACACAGATCTATACTTGTATTGACATAAATGGTTACACTTTGCCAACACAGATGTATCGAGCAATTCACCTCTGTCACTCTTTGATCTCTAGAGCCCAACTTGCCAAAACTGAACAATTCAGAACTCGGCTGTTGCCATCAGCTCTTGAAAATGAAAACCAGTTTGGGAGTTAGTTAATTGTGCGAGTTTGCCAAAGCAAGCAAAAACAGATGTATACATCAAGGGTACTACAGTGACTGCAATATTCTTCTTGAAAAGCAATACTAGCACTATGAATTAATAAATAGTATTGAATAGTATTTTTTTGGAAAATGGTATCAAATACCACACCAGCTTCATAGCTTGCACTGAATCCCATTATATTCACAGCATGCTTTTGAGCCCAAACATTTCACAAAGCTTACAAAACCGTGAATCCTAATTCCAAAGCAAGTCAACATTTTCTACTAAAAATATACAGCCTGTCATCACTAAGCCACCAATTTCTTAGGCCTCATTAACTACTGTACAGGAAAAAAAAGCAGATGAGAAACATCCTCCAGCTCCACATTATCTTCTYTCATTCTTGTTACTCCCTTCAAGCGGTAATGAAACAAAAGAAGTYAAGCTCAATCCCGGGTCCCGTGTTTTTATTTTGTAGTTGCAGGGAGATGAAACAACAACAAACACAAAAATATCTAAAGCAAAGTTAAAAACCATCTCTTGCTGATGTGTCACCCARAACYCTTATGTTTGYGCTGCCACTCCATTGCTGCTCTTTYGCTTTTAGAAGAGTCTATCTCACATCCAGGTGKTGCCAAATGTCACAAACATTTCCAGTAAAATCATCCCAAGAGACAAGATGCTAATAGTAACAGTTTCCATGAAATTCCATTCCTGGAAAGGAACTGAATATCCAAATGTGGATTTGGGTTTCAAACAGTGGTGAATATACATTCCTTGCTACAGAGTTATCCTAGGGTTTTCCTAGTCCAAAAAGCACAACGTGTACAACAACGCAGTAGCTACAAAGCACAATTTCAGGATTCAGCATGAACCGGATTCTCTGCTGTCCATCATTTTGTCAACTATCTCTAAGAAAACTGCCTAAGGAATTAASTCTGCCATTTCCTGTTCACAGCTGAAGAACATGCACTTCTAGGAAGTGCTGAAAACTGAAGCGTCTCAAGAGGAGGCATATGCTGCTCGTATTTGGGCGCACATCAGAAGCCCTGTTTGGGTTGGGATGGGGAGGGAATAGCAGGAATTGCTGTCTCCTCCGCACTTACATCATTTTGCATTCCATTGGCTCCCGTGAAGACAATTTTTAATCAACTGCACTCCGTGGCTGATGGATTAGCCCTGGCTTCAGAAACCCTAGGGACAAATGCTTTTTGAGAACTGCACATCCTATTGATGGGCAAAAGGATATTATAGTCATCATTTTCCCAGGCAACAGTAATTGGGATTTTAATTCTTTTACCGACAGCATCTTTACATGCTACCCCTGTATTTGAGTGAAATGGAATTTTAAAGATATGAGGCTGCTACAGAGCTTCTATTAGAAATCCTATTCTAAACAAAATCAACTGTAGCACAAAGAGTTTCTTTAACATATGTCTTTGGAGAAGATGGGGAAAGAAAAATTCTCCACAGCATCTGCAAAATCCTTAGGTGTGACCATTCCACTTGTCCACTTAGCAATACAGATGTCGTGTAACAGCTTTTTCAAAGTCATGTGTTTATAATCATCACGAATTTTTATATTATTATGTTGATATAATCGTTCAGTAGCCTGCATTTATATTGTGAAAAATGCACCTGCTGAGGAAAGATGTGATTCTTCTCTGTTTGGGTGTCAGTTGGTACTTTTTATTCCRAAAGACTATTGTCTAAAAGCCCACAAATGGGCTGAGGCTGTTGCTTACAGTTTCCTCCTTTTGCTTCCAGCTACATTTATAAAAAGGCATTTTTAAAACTCTTGCTAAATTTCTGATCACTCTGTCAGAACTGGGGCTTCTGGACTCCATCACAGTGGAAATGAGCAAATAAAAATGCAATTCATTAGGCAATTAAGAATTCAATGTGCAAGCAATGACCATCCTCATATGTATCACACATATTCTAAAAGACAAGAATTACATAAAGCACTTTTTCCACTGAATTAAATGTTACTTTTGTGCCACAGAATAATTTCCTGGAAAGCAAAAAAAATCCAGCTTTAGTGTGAAAAGTGCAATTGATCTGTTAGACCGAATATTTTCTATAGAAATACATTTTCTCAAATATTTACAAACYGATCAAGTCACCACCTCACCGTTGATAAACTAGTGAGACCATGCCTGTTAAATCCCCCAGAACAAAGGAGGCATTTGTTCACTCTTAGACTTCTTATATGTCACTCAAAGACTTCTTATATGTCTTTTCTAAATCCTTTCCTGTTTACTTTAATTCCTTCTTACAGCTATAATGAATGCAATACAGTGGTAATCATTTAACTAGTGCTATACCCTAAGGAAAATCTGTGCCCATATTCTTTAATCAGTGCTATCAGAATTATAGTCTAAGAAATGCATTGGACTAATTAGCAAGTGTATCTCATTCATGTTCAATTTATTTTCTGTTGTGATCCTTAAATGCTTTTCAGATATAATGATTTATTGAATACATACTTCTGCTGCATGTGACCTTTTTTCCTTGCTTGAAAGTCTAAAAAAATTCGTGCTGTTCAGCTGTAATAATTTACAAGGCTATCAAGAGAAGTCTCAAAATTATTATTTATTACAAATAAATTTAAGATTGATTACATAGTTTTCAAAAAGTATTGACAGAAAAAAAGTATTGAATGAAGAGTGGTCAAATCGCACCCTCCAGAGTAAATGCCTACTGTGGATGGTGATTCCTACGCCTTTACAGATTAAAAAATTTGTAATTTCAATCCACTAAAAACTGGCCATATCTATTGGGCATGGTCCTATTTTTAAGACAAGCCTTCTATACTGAAAATGAAATCAGAATTCTAAGTGTACATAACTGATATCTTTAAAAACAAAACTTACAATCTCAAGAACAGCTATTATCAAACACGTTTAACAAAATTATAATACAAAATTCTGTATTAGCTGACTGATATGGTATTTATGAAATATGTGCTGACTTAAATTCTTAATTGATCATATCCAGCACTGGCCTTTCTATATGCAACAGAGACTCACTATTGCCATCCCATTCACTTTTTTTTTAATATATCCATTCATATCCATTGCATGACAAAGAGAAATGAAAATGTCTTGTTTTCAAAAAGTTAAATATATTGCAGTTTTCCAAGATTTGTTAAAGATGACACATGAGGAAAAGCTCTCATCTTTAAAACCTAGGTTTAGGTGWAATTTAACACTCTATTCCAAATACTTCAAAATGTTAAATTTTTGCAGCTTCTCTTCTATGTTATCACAAGTGTTATAATTACTTTTATTACTATGACTGTGAAAATAGCATAAAGCCTACTTCCAGTCAAAATCCAGCAATTTTCTACCTCTGGAATGATGACATCCTATTTACATTCTATAACATTCTCTTTACATCTTAACACTCCTAAATAATTGATCCTATTTTTTGCCATGATTTTTGTTTATAACAAGTAATATCAACGTTTGCTTTGTATTTGCAATTGTATTTACACTGCTTTTTACTGCTCTTTTTTTCCTGCAATTTGAGGAACTGTGCATCAGCAAATTTTCTRAGTATCAAACAGGAATTGGTAAAGAACTAGAAGCATGTAAGTTCATTACAYATGTAGCATACACTACATAAGCATAAAACCACTGCACATGCAGAGTCTGTTAACTTATAGACATAATATATCAAAGAGAATGAAGAAGCACAGACATTTAATAACTCCTGACTTTTGTTTCCACAGATCTTCAAAACTTCAGTCGCAGATAGACCCACAGCAACATGTCTTGGATAATTCTGTTACTCCTATCACTGAACACTTAATGATTTTTCAATGCAGTATCRGTCCTGTCAAGGTGCAGGCAGGGAGCTAAGTGAGTTGCTCAAGTTAAAAAAGGAAGTCTGTGGCAGAACAACATGAGCTGAGCCTTTTCAAGTCCCAGCTGTAAACAGGACACCGTCTCACCAAGTAAGCCAAAACAGCAGACTGCAGTCCAGCAGTGGGACATATTGTGATGGGGTAGCAAAAGAGAACTGATCAAGGAAATGTTTATTTTAAAAGCCTGGACAGTTGGATTTTTTTTCTTTAATAAAACATTCACTTCATAATCATTACCTGAATGTAGCTGCATTCACTTCATAATCATTACCTGAATGTAGCTGCATTCACTTCATAATCATTACCTGAATGTAGCTGCAATAAGAATAACATTCACTTCTGTCACTTACTGTCAAGTAATTTTAGGTGACTGGTGTTTTCTTTATGACTGACTATTAACTCTCAAAAAGAAAAAAAATATATATTTGTAAGTTTGCCAGTTTTAAGTTATTTCAATATTTCAGTTTGCCTTTATCTTAGAGAAAAAAAGAAAAGCACAGCATTTGATACTTCAACATGTCTTTATGTCAGGATAGTACACAGGAGTACCTCTGCCTGAAAAAAAARAACCATAAACCTTTGTCCTCTGCCCAGAACTCTACCGAGGGACCAACCCCACATGTCCGCCCTGAGATCAATGAAATGTCTGAATCTGACAGCTGCAAGTCTGAAGCCCMGTAAAGGCAAATTATTCTTTAGCTTTGGGCCCTGAACAAAAAAAACTGCAAGCCAAAAAATTGCCTACTGACAACACACCCAACAGTACTATTGTCTTTAAAACCCTAAGTCAAATAGAGGCATTTAGTGTTCCTGATTTCTTCATGAGGCCAAAACAAGAGAGGGAATCACTCAAAGTAGTTCCACTGAGTACAAAATATTATTTATACTGCTTAGAAGTTACAGCACAAAAATCTGAAGAAAACAATACTTTGTCTTTTCCCAAAATATGCCCTCTAATATTAAGATTAAATCACCTACCACCATTTTCTTCTCCATTATTATTGTTTGTCTCAGCCATGTCAGTGCCATCTAACTCAGATTCACATCCTAAATCCAATGTTCCATCAGTAGGGCATGTTGATTCTTCTTTCTACAGTTAAAAAATAAAAATAAAAATAAAATTAACAAGAAAAAAATCAATCATGATCCTGCTGCATCTCCGAAAATAGATTACTGCAGTGTACTCTCATGCTTACATTAAAAAAAGAATGAAATAAAATATGCTTGTGAGTTACTTTAGAAAGAGCCATAAAAAACAGACTTTCATGAAAAAACTTGCAAACCAAAAGCAAAAAAAGCTTTTTTGAGAAGTCGTAACATGCTCTTTTTAAAACCGAAGAAGCCAAATAAAATGCAAGATATTCCACTTTTCTTCTTTTTCTTTTCTTTTTTTCAACAGACACAGACTTGTGTGGCTGTTAAAAATCCTAGTTTTCCAGTTGAGTGTCTATAACACTGAAGCAAAACACAAATCCTTTAATGTTTCTTTTCTGCCTTTGCCTGTTTCCTGAATTCAAATAGCTGAAGCAACCTGGAGCTCACAAGCACGGGAGTGATTGTGAATTCCTGGAATTGTGCCAAGAATATCTCCCGATTTAAAGAAAAACAACAGCATTTGTTCTAGTAAATTAGGAAAGAGAGCTTCTGAAAACTATTAATTCAATTTCAGGTACAGGATTTTTAGTTAGCAGGAGCAGAYAAATTTATATATTTTTATAWTTTTATACCCTTACATCAAATACATCTGTCATAAATTACAAAAGATCCTTAGCCCCAGCCCAAAATTTTAGTTGACTACATTTAGACTGCCAAGCAGATAATCTCCCTTTCTTGTTTCTCATCTCTGCCTTACATTCTTCCAATCCTATTGTGAAACCCTCTAAAGTTTGATCATGTATAACAAGAAAAAATTCCCACCCACAGTAAACATCTTGTTCATTCCAAAACAGAATAAAAAGGGATATAMATAGCATAAAGGCAAAATTCTATTACTATAATTATATTCCTTCTCAAAAGCAATGATGCAACCTATAAATTAAAAGCTGATTTATATTAGACTTGCAAATAATTTTTCACTATTCAAAAATCAAACATTAATACAATTACTTAATTAGAAAGTCAGTGATCCTCTTGAGCTCACTGCTCATAAAACAAAGGCCTTACTGTGAACAACTCTGAAAAAGCAGCATTTTAACTAAGCTACGTGGTTTTTATACCATGTGCCAAATTCGAGAACATGTATATGCTTTCTAGGACAAAACATTCAATATTTACTTTCATTATAAATCCTTTTAAAAGACATCTGAAAGCAGTTAGAAGGACTATCAGGTCATTTCCTCTCCAAAGAATCAGATCTGTTTACCTTTATATCTAYTGAGACATTCATAAAATGAATTAATAGCTATATGTACAATCCATACACAAAATTTAAACTTACTTTGAGAGCATAGAGTCCTGATTTCCCAGGGATTTTGAAGAATGTTCCATCACCTACACGAGTGTTAGTGTGAAGCATTGCATTCAGGCAAGCTAATGGAGAGGTTCCACTGAAAAATAAAATTGTGCAGTCTAAGATTGAGTGCCTCTTGTAAAACTATTCTCTCTGTCTATTTTTTTAAAAAACTCATGCTTGCCTGGCTTTTTTTTTTTTTTTTGCCCACCCCCCCAACTTCTTTTTTTTTTAATTCTCTCAACCCTGAAAACATCTACATTACAATAACAGGCCAGTTTCAAACTTAATCATATGCATCTGTCCCCTAGGCTTGAGGCAAAAAGTCTGTGAATTATAATTATGCTTTTCTTCATACAGCAACCAGCTCCACATTCTGAAAGAACCAAAGTCCAAATATTTATGTGAAATTACTTCATAAATAACRCCATGAAGCCTCATTTTTAAAATGTTACAGACAATGTGGCTGCTGCACATGAATGATCAAAACAGTACCAAGTTCAAGGGCAGCTGCATCCCATAGGATGAAAGGCAACAAAAGAATAATAAAGAGCCCAGAAAGAACACATTTAAAATTAAAAGTGATATATAGTAAAGCCTCCTTCTGGCTCAACATGGTCAGCATGCATTATTATATGTAAATATAAGCACATTTGTACCTTTTATGAAGCACTATCTTTTCTAATTAGAACTGTTTTAGAGATTAAGAGACTGACCTACTAAAGGTAGTTATTGTAATACCACTGTGGAATGCRTATTAAAGGACTATTTAAAAAGAAACACAACACATTAAGAAAAAAAATGAGTATTTGGACAGAGATATTTTTGTAGTATATACATGTTTACAACAGAAAATGAAGCAAATATTTCTACCTTCGTTATACGTATACTATTCTGAAAAGTTGATCTAAAAAGTGGGGGGAAAGAAGGCAGACATAAATTATTTTATTTAGTTTTAATATAAAAATTGAAGTACAAGATCTATAGATGTACTCTCCCATCTTTGTCCCCGTTTAATGGCTAATGTGCACGGTGTACTCAGGGACTGAATCTGAAACTGTGCTTCTTCCCTGGGGTCCCCAGTCTGCACGCACGCTTATCTTCAGCCACGTAAATATATTCCACTTGGTTAAGTGGAACAATGCCTGTGCATTAAATTAAGTGTGTTGCTAAGTATTTCAGGATTAATTATATACTCAACTATAAACCAGGAACAGGGCTTCAAAGTTCATCAGAAGCTACTCTTTATTCTGCGGTGTTATAACACAACATCCAATCTTGGTTAAAAATTGCATGTCTGATTTTTTTTAATAAGTGAAACAGGATTGAAATTGTTATGTTTCACATGGTTATGCTTCCTGTTTATTTTCATGGCTCTGTTACAGCAAAATTCATCCATACTGTACATGTATTATTATTATTTTAATGGCAAGATCGATAGTGTGGTAATTGCTCTCCCGGTAAAAATTAAACTATGAAGTATCCTGAGGCCAGGAAGTCCTGTCTTTTATAATTTATTTGCTACAGGTCACCTAATGTATCATAGTACTGCATCTAAAATAAAAAATTGCAGGTAAAACTGTAGCTTATTGATAAACACATCAGATATATGTAATAGGCATTTATTTTATGAGTATTCTAAACACGATCAYGCAACATGAAAATTCTGACAAAGTTTTTGTTGTTTCTTTTTCTTCTCTGCAAATAAAACTAGCTCCACATTTGGTTTTGATATAATACTTCAACAAAATACAACCYAAAATATGTTGGAAATAAAATGATACTGCTAGCAGTGGGACAGAGAACATGAAGAGAGCTCATTGAGTTTAACGATTACTTAAACGCTTTTGTAATATGTAGGATACTTCTCTTTACACATTTTCCTTACTGTATTAATGCTTGACAAGCAAAGACAAAAAGCATTTAATACAGCAGTTATGGTTGTGTAATTTCTTCCATATGTTAACGTACATAACRTGAAGCAATTTCAACTCTCTCAGACTTGGATCTTTTCAGTGAAACATTATCACCGATTAAGGCTTTCTCTGCAAGACAGAAAGAACTCGCTGACTCTGCAGCAGAACACAAACTTGGTATGTCAATAAGAAACAAAACTGTGTGTGCATGTATGCACGATTTGTATTCTCTTCCTATTCGGATGGAGATACTCTGGACTCCAYACTTATTTTTAGATATCATTAAGCAATTAAAATGATACAGGATGAATGAACCCAAAACAGAGGATTTGGCAACATCTCAYGATCACTACTGTGCTCACAGCAGATATCTTAATCTTCAAAGTCTAGACAACTGGCAAGTGGACAATAGAAACTACTCTCTGACTTACAAAGAAACCCGTATCGGCTACTGAGCCAAGAAGTACTTTAACTWCTGCTACGCTTGCTCCTTGCACATATCTGCAACCCCTAATGGCATGCAACCAAAGGGCCACATCCACCCTTCTTAAAAACAGGACTTGGGCATGACTGTAAGGGGCACAAAACAAACCACACAGGACACACTTCAGTTGCAAATGAAAATAATCTGGATACACTGAAGGGTGGAATTTATTTTGAGCGAACAGATCAAACTGAAGTTCCATGGCGTCCTTCATAAGTGTGATTTTGACTCATATTAACCAGTRACTTGCCTATTCTTCTGTCAGGACTGGCTTCCTTAAAACACTGTATTAAAATTCCCGAGCGTTACCCACAACTGATGCTGGAAATGCTTGTGACACATGCTATCACAACACAGGGGACTGAGGTTCAAAAAGCCAGCAATCAAAGGTCCCATGATACAGACTGATGTCTGAATGATAAAGCACTTTCTGAGGGATCTGTACTACTTATTCTGTGCTTTCTAAATTCTCCTACAGCCTGAGGAAATGTTCCTTCTGCTCAGAGCTCCTGGCATGTATTAATACAGCAGTCAAGGCCTGCCAAATGCAAGCCTGAGTATCTCTGAATATCAAAAATGGCACAGCTTGACCTAAGTTCTTGAAACGCTCCAAAKCAGTTCAACTTTGATTCAGTTAAATGAAATTGGATACAATAATATTCTACTTTGCAACTTGATATCTGTGAATTTTTAGAGCCACAATATATTTTAAATCGATATGCTGCAAGTTTTATTGCCACAGTTCTGCACACAATAAATACGTTTACCATTTACAGTCTTCAGATGCAGAACTTTCATACTATTTATCATCATCTGGGTGAGACTGCTTTAAACCACTSTGATATTCTAGAAGTCATTCATATATGGAATTTACAATCTGTAGCAATATGTCTTTAAGACTGGTATTTTTCTGCTTGTTTGTTTATTTTATATACATATACATCTATACACACAAACAAGCAATATACCCTTCCTCCCCCTTTCAAATATGTTTAAAATGTGAAAAGTTACTTACTTTCTGCAACGGTGATGTTATAGTGCGACAACAACCAGCAATATAGGAAAGAAAAGAAAACAAAACACTCATTAACCTTCCAATATAAAGATTGCTAGTACAATTCAACCATTTAACAGACATCAGGCATTTCAATGTTTCATTAATTCTCTTTTCCAAAATCRCTATAAGCTGGTAGCACTCAGTGCATCCCTTCAAAATTCCTGTACATTACCAAATCAAACTTTGCACCCCCAACTCCCCCAGTCAAAAATAGCTCCAACATTTAGCGATTCTGGGCTCCCTCTACTGGTCACGCAGCCGGTGTCACCTAAATCGAAATGCCAGACTCAGTTACAGAGTTTCCACACACCAATTTCTGCTAAAACATGTAGGGGAAGTACAGATTTGGGCTACTTCCTCCTCTGCCACCCTCCCCAAAACTCTATAAAAAATTTGTAAAAACACCAGTAAAACTCTACTCATTTTTATACTGTAAACTTCTCAAACACATGGTTCTATAAGAAAAACCATGAAAACATCTACAGTCAGGCATATAATTTTAATGGTCTTTGCTAGACTGCCTGCCAAGAGACAAAAATTATGATCTTGGCAGAAAAAGGGATGTTTTAAATATGGAAAATAAATTGACTAAAGCTGCCTTGTCCAAGCAATATATTGYGGCAGACGGTGAAAGTTCCCTGACACTTTGCAGACAAGACACCAGCATTTCAGCCACTCAGCCCTACTGTACGCAGTGTAACCCCCTCCTTTTCCTGATATGTTTCCAAATCTAATGATTACTGCTGTAAGAGAAGCACCTAGGTATCATAAATTTATTCAGCATTTATTTGCTTGAATCATCTCTTTTTATACACATTTGTACATAGTCACAAGGGAGCAACAATTTTCACTCACTGCTAGAAACAAAGTAAAACCAAGAGGCTTAAGAACTAATTTCTAGTCATGACTTGAAGTCACAGACAATACAATAAGTTCATAATATATGTAAGTTACGCCAATTTCTGAGTGAAAACAGATAAAGAAAATAAAACTTATCGAGGAAAGCTGTAGAAAACCCACTTGTGTGGTACAGTAAATGGAAAAGAAGGCATAATTGTAATTTTCCGGAAATATACAAAAAGCTGATGAAGTCAATGGAGATGAACACTCTTCATGGCCACTGGGGGAGGAAAAGGAAAGTTCACAGAGCTTAAAAGTGTGAATGTAGGTGCTGATGTTTTAATCAACACCAGAACAGAGCAGGGGAGATTGTAAAATGACCTTCATCAGAAGATCATGCACACACCACTCCTGGCTGATACATTGATTGGAACCCGTCCCAGTGTTTGTATTGAATGATCTCTTGAGCATACATCCAGCACTGCAAATGTGATGCTTTATSTCTTCAATAAATCGAAATTTTGGTTAAGGCTGAAGTTAATCACACACCCTGTGTATGAAAACTTGTTCCAACATACACAGCAGCTAGAAATGCTGGAAAATTGACTCAATATCTAAACGTGCACTGCCTGCTGAAGTGTTGCACACAGCACTGCTTGCCTGGTGTGATGAAGCCCTTTGGCTCCCTCTTAAAAGCTTTCTCACAATCTTCAAGGARCCATGTTCCTACAGTCCTGCTGTCAAGTGCCAGCAAAATGTCCCAGCCTGAATCACAAGATTGTAGCCGTGACCTAGCTCAGGAGCAACACAGAAAACCACCAGGAACCTAAGCAGCTATACCAAGAAAAGAATAAAGCTGTCCTATTTATGAAGATGACAGGCAAACTGCACTGACCAGTCTAGAGCTGCTCTCCTCCCACAACCAGGCTTGACTGAGCTGGCAGTGCTGCAGCAGCTCTTAGTGCTGGGGCCAAGACAAATTCTACCAGCCTGGGCCCAACAGGAATAATCAAGAGACGTCCAGTGAATTGAAGACTGAAAAAAAGACCCAGACATTTTATTATTCTCAAATGGCACAGGCATAGGATCCTTCCCTTGGCACAGATGGAAGCAGCGAACACAGGTAAATAGTGGAAAAAAAAGTTGATGACGGCAAGATTTCCTGCCAACCACCTACAACTTTTTCAGCAATAAATGCTTCGAGTTAGTCTGAACAAACCAATCAGTTGACCCTGGCTGGACATCATGCCCACCAAAGCTGCTTTATCACTCCCCTTAAACCCCAACCTTAAAACATCTTCCTTCTCTCCACCTTGTCCTCCTTCCTGGGCTTAATTTCACTCATGGATTTCTCTACCTCCTCCCCAGCAGCTTTGACACCCTTCTGCTCCAGCCTCGGTCCCTTCCACAGGGTGCASTCCTTCATAAACATGGTTTTCACCATGGGCTGCAGGGGAATCTCTGCTCCAGCATCTGGTGCATCTCCACTTCCTCCTTCTTCACTGATGCTGCTGTCTGCAGAGTTGTTGCTCTCACCTATTCTCACTCCCCGCTGCAGCTGTAGCTGTTGTGCAGGGCTTTTCCCCTCTCCTTTGCTCTGTTACCCCAGAGGCACCCATCATCATCGCTGATGGGTCTGTTTTGGAGCCGGCTGGCATTGGTTCCATCGGACATGAGGGAAGGTTCTCACAGAAGCCACCCCTGTGGCCCCCCACCATCAAAACCTGGCCACGAAAATCCAGAACACACCGGAAGACTGCAAGCAGTATACTTATTTCCCAGCCAGTGTCATATACAGACTATGTATTCCAGGTACATTTGCATTCAGCCATCTTTWTTTCAATAGCAAAATCCTAAGACTCAACATGATAATCCTAACTAAACCAATTTAAATTATCAAGCAGAAAACTTGATTTAAACAATCAATTAAAATCTTGCTTTTGATTTTTTCCAGTTGTTTTCCTACTGCAAGGCTGATTTGTTTATTGCTTGAAATTATTCAAATACTCCAATCAGCCAATAGAGCTTTAATGTAATTTCACTTTTTGTTTATTCAGAGACTAGAAATGTATCCATCAATTATCTAACTTATTGTACAGAAATTAATCCATGTCATACTTTCTGATGTTAAAATAGCAATGACACCATATTTACTAAATCGTTACAAACATACTTATTTCTGTCAAATGATTTTTAGAAAGAACCTCCATTTAATTAAGAGATTGACTTTTAAATGCTGAATGAAAATACACTAGATGTGCTGGATATAAAAGAAAAAAAAAGGAGAGACTTTCCAAAGTATCATATATCCAACATAATTTATTAAACAATAAAACCATCTCTTAATATGTGGGTAGTAGGTAGCTAGGGAACCATCTACTATTTTTATATATACAGTCTAATGAAACTGCAGAGCTGGAAGATCTCAGCTGCTCACACAAAGTTCTTATTCATAAATTAGAGCAATAAAAAAAGGCATTTTTCTTTTTGAGTTTCCAATTGGCTTTTTAATTTTAAAGGGACTACTAAYGAGAACTACAGAAAATACTCAATACATACAGTTGACGTGACTGTCAAAACGATTTATGTTCTGAAGTCTTAACCATTTAAATAATAAAGTCATAATAAATAAAGTCTTAAGCCTTAAGTTATTTGCTTAAGTTTTATAGGAATTGAAGTACTTACAGGTTGAATACTATTTATACAGTCTGAATAAATTATACTTAAGGTTTATTCCTAACATAAGCTCTCCTACTTGAATCTTTAAATGTATTTTRAAGGATTAAAAGACAATTCTTAAAATAAATTTATTTTTATAAGTTTATTTTTTATCATTTTTATCCACGCAAACCAGAACTAACTTCCGTTTTGTTCTCATTTGGGCAGTACCCTGAAGAAAATTTTTACATCTCTGGTCTTACTTATGCTTCACACRTGGTACCTGACTTTCAGCCTTCAAATATCACCAACCACTATTCTTGGGCAGAGCAAACAAGCCAGGCTATCAGGCAACGAGACAGAGCAGCCCAGCTCATTTGTCTGTACTCTTACAGATTGCAAATAACTACCACAAGATGCTGGGGGAAAAGACCTATTATTTGTACTACTGATGCTTCATACAAAACTCATGCAGATTGCCTGATTTTCTAAATCAGATGAAGATAGAGGCACGATTATTGGTCATATGATGGAAAAAAACAAGGACCAGCAGAGACATGTACACAGATGTAGCACATCTATCATACACACCCAATGTCCGTCTCATGAACGTGCAGAATGTCCCTATAAGTTTTCACKGAAGTTAACCAAAGTACTGAACCCCAAATACCTAAACCAGATATCTATAAAGATCTATAAAGAAGCTGGTAATGAATTTGAACCCTGCCCTTTGCAGCTTTGACGGAATTACAGGCAGCTGGAATCACAGTTGACTAAAGTGATATATCATCAAGAAACTGAACCTTATCAATGTCCTTCAAATATTAAATAATCTGGAGCAATAATATATAAAAACTCAAYCTGGATCCTAAATTCAGGCTAGGTATTATGAAAAGGTTTGGGGTTTTTTTTGCATTCTCAGCAGGAAACCTCATTTACCAACTAACCCAAGATAGTTTTACATTTTGAATTGACGCAAACTTAAATCAGGGAAGGAGTCAGAAGTGAAGCTTCTTTCACAGAACAGGTTTCCACACTGCATTACCAAACCACTGTTAAAGCATTAAACAACACTGTCTCTCCTTGGAAGAGAGGTATACAGATATTATTCAACTCTTCAGTGAATAATATACATATTAAACAAATACTGAAGCTCATGCCACTACCCTTAAGACCTAATCCTAGGATTCTCTTGCATGAAGCARTCTCCCTCTGGGCCTTTTGTACATGCAGATACAGTCATTGTGCGCAGTGATTAGAGGGTATTAGCACACACAATAAAGCACAAACGCAATAAACCTCTCGCCATACATCATCATGCCAAAACTAAGGTGGACAAGCCAATGAAACTGCTAGCTGAAGACAAACAGGACAGAAGACAGGGGATGCTGGTAAAAAAAAATGTTGTATTTTTCTGTAAGAGTTTGTCACACTGGCTGCATTCACCCACAGTCAGTTACAAAGTGACTAACTGACCACACAATCAAAGTCTTTTTTCTTGGGAAGCAAAGCTCTCAAGCATGAATACACATAAATTTTTATTCTAATTCCCTCTCAGTAGCTAACAGTTTGGCTCACTTTTGCACGTGATGGTATAGACTTAYGCATTTTTTCACCTTTTAGCTGTATTGAAGCACTATCATATATCTGATGTTTCTTTTTTTCCTCAGGGTTAAAGATTACTGAAAACACATCTGATTCTGCCCTCTGCTCCRTGCAATGGCCTTTCATAGACATTTCAGTCAAGTCTGGCATTTCYACCCTTACCTTTCGAGTGCTCTGTGGTCTGAGGCCAAGGTAGATGAAGTTCYGATATCGTACAACACTGGTAATAAATCTTTTTCCTATCTAGAGCAAAGTCTATTTTACCTTATGGTGCTGGCAGCCTGAGAAACCTTCTGATGGTGTCAAACCTRGTGACAATAGCCACAGTAATGTTTCAGAAGAAAACAACAAATGGAGTTCATCCATGCTGAAAGTGGAGCTTTATTACAACTCTTCTAAAACAATAAAATGAAAAGGCCCATGAAGAAAAGTTCACCGCAAATCTCAATACTCCTTAAGCCAGCCAGGCTCTTTCTTTTTTGGTTTTTTTTTTTTTTTTACCATCTTCTGTCACAAGAAAGCCTTTACCTATAAAAGTTCCAGAACCTGTGTAAAATTTAAGTGTTGCTGAACAGAATTTTATAGAGTTACTGTTATTGATTTTCCCCTGAAAATATTTATAATGTATCTTGAAAACAAAATGCTCTCAGCATGACAGGTACATCTGAGGAGAGAAAATAAAAAGCACAAACCCATCATACTGATGCCACATTATACACTACAGACTGAAAKATATTAACAGTTTTCCTGAAATTCAAATATCCCTACCCATTATTTTTGCTGATTACCCTTTGCCAGCCATGCCTGTGAGTAGGTCTCTTTGAATATTTCGAATGTTCTGTGAAGTATGTTTGAAACACCGTGACACCTCTTTAAATGATATTCACATATGGCAACAAGCATTCCTCAACCAGAAAGGAAATGAGAATACAAGTTTTATAGGGAAATGTTTACACTTCTCTGTGCTCCCTAACACCTAGGAAACCCACAGGTTTTTCTTCTTTGTGAAGAAWAATCTCAAAGAAAGGATCTATGTAAATGCATCTCTGCACTTTGAATCCTTACCATTTCAGTAGATGTTGTACAAATAACACAAGAGAAAAAGCAATGTTAACAAAAAAGGGCATTTTGAAGGCATTGTTGAAAGACAGAGGCAAATATTAAAGAGTACCTTTTGAAATCATCCTGAAAGAAAAATGTTTCAGAAAGAAAGTCATCCCAAAAGAACATGAAATCAGCATGTGTCAGAGAGAATAATAACAGCTAAGGTGTCCCCTGGACTAAAAACACCCTCCTCATTCAACACCACTTAAAAGAAACTATTTGACTTTTTTTGTGTAACGAATTCTTATACTGGCTAAATAACACAGTTCTCTCTGACAGCTACTTCCTATTCAAGAGTGTACTTTCTTTTTCCTTTTCTCTTTTAATAAAATATTTCCTTTTAATAGTTTTAACTGATTTCATTAAAAAGCAGTAGTACATTTTTCACTTTCTACTTGAATATCAATAATTGCCATGAAGGACAAAACTATAAATAAAGGAAAAAAATGAATTCCTGCCACATTAAAGGAATTCTAGAGTAGAGGTTAAAAAATGGGTTTCTTAAAGAAACCATGGTTTTTATATAAACGATGTCTTATTTTAGTATCAGATTTCACAGACCCTTGTGGGCTTTAAATACATATGTTTAGAAAAATGAAGTAATGACTGTGCTACAGTCAAAAATGTACTAAATCCAAGAAAAACATTGCCACAAAATGTTCAATGTATAAAATGAAAAAAAACACCCCACCCTTCCAAATATTCTTGGCTTCAAGGTGGGTGAAGCTTACTCCTCAAGAAAAAAAAAAACCAACTTTTAAGGTGGAAAGTAAATTGACTATGCTGAACAAGACATAGTCAATAATCACTGAATGCCTTTTGGCCTCTAAAACTTAATCACCCTACACAAGGGACCTGTATGAAGTTATCCCAACTTCTCTTGTTCAATTTGGCTTTTTAGTTGGCCAGTCTCCACAACTTTCCCTGCAGTGTTTCAAGAATATCTTGTGTGTGTATATGTGTGTGTGTATGTGTTATTGATATACAGCTGGTTAGTCAAATAYGAAATAAAAAATATACCCCACCCCACCCCTGCAAAATAAAAAGTTACAGCTATTTTTAACAACATTCACTTCCATCAAGTTTCATGCACTCATATAATTTACACTGGTAGGAACTTCCAGAAGTTATATAGTCCAACATTCTGCTCAAAGCAGGGCCAYTTGGATCTCAGCCTTGTCCACTCAAGTTTTGTGAAATCTCCAAGAATAGAGACTTCACAGCCTCCCTGGACAACCTTACTCCTGTGCTTAACTGCTCTAACTAGGAAAGTATTTTTCTTAGCATCAAATCCGAATTT